GATCTAAATAATTTTACACAAAGTCATTTATAAGTGTTGTCCAACACAAAATAACTCAATCACTAAGAATACAAACAGAAGGCAACCTTTGAACGAGAATGCTAGTTTGATCTGAATGTTGGGTATAGCTATAAAGTTATCTGTGAGCACTGATTTATAAAGCTTTATTTAAAAAACACTGAGCTACTGTTTTCGTTCATGCTTATACAAATATTTTATTAGATATTAGATTTCTGGAAATAGATACAACTAGTGAAGGGCTCAGGCCACACTTTCGGTAAAACACTGATTGAATCTGTGTTTTACATATGTTGGCCAGCATAATTTCAGTTGTATAGTTGAAATATAGGTGAATGATGTGAAACTATCAGTGGAAAGTAAAATTCATAAATACAAACTTGGTTTACCCACTGTGTTGTTTTGATTATGACGGAATATTTCCTGTCACGCATATTGAAAAAAAAAAAACATATCTGGTTTTCTGAATTATATCTAAACATTCTTACAGCACAAATCCATTTATGCCCATGAAAATGTGGGCTATACAGGAATACTAGAAGCAGGAAGTAACACCTTCTTGTGAAATGTAGCTATTCTCTTTCATGTTTAACATGTAGCTGAAGGAAATAATAAAGGGAAGCGAGATGCTGGTAATAGTGAATTTCCAAAATTGAAAAAACAACAACAAGAAGATTAGTACCTGAGTAGTGTATGATATATTATGGACACTCATGTGGATACCGAAACTTGTAGTCTTGCCCCTCCTACCAGACCAAGATTGTTTCTATGGGCCATCATGACAACAGTGGCGACCTCAGATAGTGTAGCCCTTAAATTAGGTCAAGCTCAATACCCAAGGATACCTGCATTAACAAAGCTGAAATAAAGCTTTATTAACGAAAACTGACCACCATTATTTTTCACGTTCTACTATTGAAGTATGTTTTAGGACAGGGGTTTCTCTAACCAGGCCTGCTTATTGGGTTTTCCCTGACCTTACAGAACTCATTTGACCCTACATTTTGAATCCTGACTTTTCCTATTTAGGATCAGATTCTTAGCGCTTCTGACTAAGTTGTTGCCAATTGTCCAGTTGTGGATCATCCTGTTAAAAAGATCTGCAGTAGGCCATGGAAGGTGAAAGCTGACAATGGTTTTGGTCACTACTGACTAGAGACCTGATATGCCCCAGGAAGTGTCTTACACAATTACTAGAAAGATGACTACAGTGTTGGCAACTCCAGGCTAGGACCATAACAGACCACAAGAAGTGTCTTGAACTGAAACCCAAGTTATCAGAAATTACTATTTTCATGTAATTTACCATGAGATGATTGAATCATCACAATATGTTTAGACTATTGAGGTTGTGAAAAGGAAGACAAACTGTATTGAATTTTATTCTTCTAATGCATTGTGGCAAGCCACGACAAACACTACTAATATCATTTGTTAACCCCATATGCACGGGTGAGAAACAAAGCAGGCATGATTCGACCTTTTACAGAGTGTGATTGTGGTTGGTCCAATGGACCACCCTGTGCACATTTGATTTGTGTGCTATCGTTATTGTTACCTGTCCTTTCTGAAGGGGGATAAGTAAGGCAGGTGTCAAAAAGTTATTTTGAACTGTATTGTTAAAGCGGTTTATTTTAAATGTATAACGTTCATTGTTAAGAATTTCATTTTATGTTTTATTAAAGGGTTGTTTTCTTGTGTTTTAATTTGTAAAGTATGCTTTTTGTTTTTAAAGGGTATTGTATCATATAAGGTTTTCTCTGTTAAAGGATTGTTTGATATATAACAGTCTTTGTTAAAGAGCATTTTCTTTGTTCCAGTATTTTTACATAGTGATGCATAATATGTTAGACTACCACCTTCTAAAAGGGGTAAGATAGACTGTGTAACTGTTTTACAGTATTGTAGTGTGTTTTTTTTTATTTTTTCACTTTCTTAATGTGTTGATCAAGTGATTTTTACCAAATAGAGGACGATTTATATCGTTTCATGGGATATACAGAGTTAAACGTTTATTTGGTTTGTTTTGCTGTTGCTTCTTAGTTGTTTTAGAATTAGAGTTTCCTGTTCGGGCTGGTGGGAAATGTGATATAGGATAGCCTCATGTGTTTTATATTCTATTAGTTAATATATAATTTTTTCAAAATTACTGTATTTTTTCTAATTCAGTTTTAGCCCCCCAGTGGTACAGCGTTATGTCTGCAGACTTACAACGCTAGAATCCGGGTTTCGATACCCGTGATGGGCAGAGCACAGATAGCCCTTGTGTAGCTTTGTGCTTAATTACAAACAAACTAATTCAGTTTTTGCTAATATTTAGATTTTGCTAAGATTTAGTTTAACTTTGAGTAACTTTTGAGTCTTTGTTTTATTTTTCATTTTATGTATATTTCTAATTTGTAACTTTGTTTTAGTTTAACTTACATGGGAGAAGCAATTCTGAACTGGTGAAAGTGAGCTCACGAAAGTGTGACTTCCTTTCTCTCTTGCACCAACTCAACACACTCACTATAGATTCATCTCTTTTACTGTTTTGTTTTGTCTTGTGATTGTGTTTTTGTAGGATAAATAAAGATTATTCTTCTGTACCTTCTGTGAATTGAATATTTCTTTTTGACGAACACAGTTAGATGGCGAAGAGATAAATAAACAAATGCTCCATACCTTGGCATCCTTCGAACTTCCGGTTAGTAAGTCCTAACAGACTGCTCCGAGAGACACCCATGAGCCAGAAAATACCATAAAGATTCGCTTTGAGAAACAGAACAAATGTTTCTTTAAATCGGAAATTCAGTTAGGTAATCCACCCTGTGGGATTTGCAGTTCTTCAAAAGCTGATAAACATATTCAATACTTTATTAATTCAAAAGAAATGTATTTTTCTTTAAGGAGAAACTTAAACTTTTACATATTATCTCAACATATAAAATCTTAGTATACACACTGCAAACATTATTTTCTAATAAGACAAATCAGCTGGAGTTTTCATGAAGAAGGCATCTAGAAAGGCAACACAGAAAAACTACATCCTAAGACTTCTGTTGTTTATTGACAATTGAAAAAATATCCAATGTTGGGAAATCAATATAAGACGATATAAGATAACTTGTTGTTTCTAATTATCACTTTTTCTTAATCATTGTGACAGCTCTCACGCCTTGATTTCAGTAGTCTTTAGTCTCTCGAGTAGTGATGTAACAATAAATGGAAGGTCTTTGAAGAAAGAATTGCCCTAGTACGTCTCTCTACTCACTTCGCTTCTCATGCATAAACAAATTTACAATAATTCATTAATAACTCTATCAAAATTATACTGAATCATGATACATGCATTCATTCACTGGCCAAACAAAGTCATCTGACACATTGTTAACTCGTTATATTGATTCCAATAAAAACAACAAAAAACAATGAGGATTGACTTTTGGGGTGGTTACTATGTTTTTCTTTTCCTTTTTTTTTTTTTTTAGTTTTGAAGCATCATCGGGGTTATTCCTAAATCCCAACACACCACTGCCAAATCTGTTGTAAGTGTGTGAAGATGGCTTCAAAAGGTGAGTTGAAAGCTGCCTCACTGGATATTTAGCGTAGAATTAAAAACTTGATTGAATTATAATTTATTATCATTGACAAATCATGAGTACTTGAACGTTTTATTTGTTATCATTATATTTTCTTTTTTATATAAAATTTGTCTAATTTTCACTGATCCTTTTGAACTTCCGTACGTTAGAGTCTTAGACAATTGCTTCACATATTCTTACGACACTGTCTAATAAAAACGCTAGTCAAACTTTCTATCTTTAGTTAGCTTAACACATTTATAAACATCTATGATTTATTTCACACATTCTGACAGTGTAGGTTTAAACGCTATTCAAGGAATTACAAATATTTCTATTTTTATTTGAAACGTACGTATCATGTTACCGGCTTTTAATGAATGGGCACACAATGACAGCCAACTAGATTGTAAAATCATTTAATTCAGTAAACGCACTTTTCATTTTCACTCGCAGCATTTTGCTTTAGTCTTGAAAAAAGTTATAAATAAAAAATATATTTGTTGCAATAATCAAACACTAAAAAATAAATTAAAATCTTAGTTAGAAGAGCACACCATTTCAAAAGTTCAGGTATTTCCAGATATCAGTGACTTCAAGAAATAAGTTATTTTCCTTTTATGATTAATTTGTAATTTAGTCCAGTAAACATTAAAAAGAAAATAGATCACACATCTCAAAATTGTAGGGCAGTTTCAGTGAGTTAGCAACCTATTCCATTAGCCAGCCCTCTATGTTCGCGTATTGTTGACTCACCCTTGAATTATTTCTTTTGATTTACCTTTGTGTTAATAAGAACAGCTTTCATTTGTTATTTCTTCATTATATGCATCAGGTATGCGCCACTAGTTGAAAGAACTGATTGGTAGTATGAAGCATCAAAAAAAGAAAGGGTTGGGAACCACAGATTTAGCCAGGAAATTCTAAAATAAAGGGTTTCAATATTATTTATAATTTACGGTTTAAGAGCGGAAGAGTAGCGAAATATTAGAAACCAATACGTCTAAAATTTGTGATAAAATTACGTAAACCACATTTTTTTAAATCATAGTAATATGTCCATATCCGATTCAACATCTGAGACATGTAGAAATAGAATTTCAAATCTATTTTTGTCTACTGAGATGCCTTTCGTTGAAATCCAGAACTCACAATTCGATGGACAATGATATAAAAAATTAACGGAAAAAGATACTTATACATATATATGCAATATAATACTTTAAAAGTTGCGGTTTAAACAACAACAGCTGGCGAACAGTAGAAACTAATTGGCGTAAGATTTGTGATAAAAATCACGTGAAGTGCAAATGTTTTTTCACCACGTTCGTGTTATTTACGGGAAATTTTGGAAAAAATATATATTACAGTTTACGTGATTTATATCTTTGTATATAGTCTTACGCGAGATGGCTCCCGTATTTGCTGACTTACCGAAGACGTTCATTCAAGGTTGTTAAGATATTTGCTGACTTGTCGAATAAGTTCATGTAGACGAACAAGAGTAAGTTAGCCACTGAGCTAGTGTTAGTGTAACGGTGATTGTATAATATACTGAAAAGTGGAATGTGAATTTATATTTTTGGTCATAGCACGCATATGCAGCCCAATATTTGAATCTTGATGCTTCAGGTTATTGATGTACAATTTTTGGGAGGATGTTGTTGAAATAATACTTTAAATAATTCAAATTTATAACATGCAAGGTTGTAAGTTTGGAATTTCTTCTTTATCAGTTTATGGTTTAAACGATGACATTAATATTAATAGTATTATTATTATTAATATAGTACAGCTCATACAGTGGTAGTGGTAGAGTGGAGAAGATACATAATATGTATTTTTGTTTTTCAGAAAAATGTCATCAGGGCTCGGAACTAAATGTTTACTAGCACTGCTAGTAGCAGTAGTAATAGTAATATTTTTTTTCTTCTAAAACTTCTTCGTTTGCAGCAATAGGGAAAAACTCTTTATCTTTATAAAAGTTTAACTTTAAGAATTTATTCACCTTTGCTAAAGACAGGTTTATAATTTCTTCCAGCAATAAAATTAAAAATCCAACTAAAAGTTGGGAAAAAAAAATGTTTGGCACCTCAGACTCTCATATTATTAATATTATTATTATTTAAGTCTTAAGCTAAAGAAATTTCCAGTTAATAATTTCTTTAGCTAAAGGATTAGTATTAGGCCTCTAATTTTTGAAAGTAATGTGTGATAAGATATTTTAATCATTTATGTTTTTAGCAATTTAACAACATAAGTTTCTCAATTTCTTGTGTTGTTATGACAGTCATCTGTTATATTAGTACTTATAGATTCCATACAGTTGAAATTGCAAGTTTTCATTCTGATTACTAAATTAGTAATTATTGTATTCCTTTATAATACATTTACATTTACAAATTACACTTTTAGTTGGATGGAAGATGTGAAACTGAAAATAATACATTCTTTTCTAGCAAACTTGATTAAACTAATAGTAATAACATCCCAAGCTTCAATAAGATTTATTCCAGTTGAGTTAGCCAACCCAGTTTTCTAAAACTGCAAGATGCTCTTCCAAAACTCTGGGATATCTGATTAACTCACAAATGGTTCAGAACAGAAACCTCCAAGCTAATATACCTGCAATCACAATAAATGGTGGGATATCATTAAACCTATTCTTTGGAGCTTGAACCCAGAACTCTCAGCAGAGTGAGATCATGTTTGTGTTTAGAGGCTTCTGTCTCTACAGAAGTAACAAAAGTCAAGCCCTAGGCAGGTAACTTTCACCTTGACCATTTCAGGTAGTACTTAACATGTTAAGTGTTACTTATGGAGTCTGATCTTGGATAGTTGGAATGATCAAAAATAGTAATAATCAGAAACTAATTTTGATTATTTTCATGACATTAATCGATCTAATCATAATTTCAATTAATTAATCATGTTACATGACACTCGTCAAGATAATTTATTATATCAAATTAATTGCCCAGTTCTTGTAAAAATATTAATCAGAAGGAAAGTAAATGAACATTTTACTTACAGTAATTTACGCTAAAGCTTTTAAAGTAACTTAATATAACAAAAGTTATTGTATTATATGTAAATAGTTGAAATAGCTAAAGTTAAGAATGACTTTACATTTCCTGCTAACTTAAAACTTGTTGCTGTAACCTTGATTTTTCTAAGTAAAATAAAAATGATGGAAAATTCAATTACTGTAACGTACTATAAAACTAATAATGTGATCTTACATAAATTGAAAAATTATTTCTTTAAAATTTTACAGAGGGATGACAGCCTTTCACTTATCCTATCAACATTGCCCTGTTAGCTCAACATTACCAGGTTGTTGTTGTGTGATAGATTATTTACAGTAGCATGGAGGAAAGTGGCACATAAACAGCACTTAGAATTGGCAAGAAACTCTCACTTAACCAACTTGTAATATCACAATAAATGGACAGCAATGGACCATTTTGTCCTTTAAGGCAATACTTTTAAAAAATAAAATAAAAATGAACAGAACATTTTTGTAGTGGTAGAAACTAAAGGATTGTGAAATTGTGCTATCTGTATTTTCCTTATAAGAAAAATGTAATAAGTTGGGTTTCTTGGGGCTCTGTTTTGGGACTTTTGTTTATTTTTGCTGATGACAAAGATAGCTTCTTGGGCAGTAATATTTTTAAATACTTTGGTTCTTAAAGGACTTAAAAAAATATAAGAATTTGCCTACTGAAGAGAAAAAAACCTGTTCTGAATTCAAAAAGTCTAAAACTATAAAAAACATTCCAGGACTGTGGTTTGTTTCTAAGTGCTATAAACTTTGCATTAAAATCCTTTGTTCACCCCTAAAGAAGCTGTGAGGTGTCAGTTTCTCAAGAAACAAAAAAAAGTGCTCAAATCACTATGTTAATTCTATACTGACATACATAAATTATATTTTCTTCTATCCAGTGGTTTATAGCCATTGCTTATAGCTATTTTCAAATCTGAGCTTCATTAATAATTGTTCAGATTACTTGCTGTAACCTTAAAAAAAATGGTGATGAAGGATTGTAGCGATAAAGCCACTGAAAGAGAAAAATCACGAGAGAGAAAACATAAACTTATTTTCAATGGACGTTAGTTCCTTCACAAATATAAATGTATACTTCAACATCACTATGAGCTGAAAAACGCTAAATAAGTATAAGTCCATTGTTTACGGGCTACACTCCAAAAGGCACTTGGTCATATAATAATATTAATAATTCAAACTGGACTGTCAGTCACGTCTTGGGAACATGTTAGTCAGGTCCAGGTATCTTAACTGATTATGAAGGGCTAAGTACTTAAGTAGGCCTGATAAATGTGTAAAAAGTTTGGTTAGTGATTTTTTTTACCTTAAATAACCAGAATAGTTAAGATGTTTGAAGAATTTAAAATTTTCATTTAACTATTTTATGAAAGAATTGTGCCATATGTATAACTTAGTTTGGAATATTTAATTATTTATATACATATTTTTTCCATAAGCTTTTGTCTGCTTTTATACAACCAAAACCTAAAGTGACTTCTTTGGAGGATGTACTTTTTTATTTTATATATCAAGTGATATTTGATTTTGGATATATTTTTGTAATTTTAGTTTGTGCTATTCAATAGATATAAATAAATAAATATGCAAAATGGTACAATTTATAACAATGAAAAATTGAATTTTATACCTACTCCTTTGTCCACTGTTATTTCCATATTGTTAAGAATAGTTTAGGTTGGATAGTATTCAGTAACCAGTATGTTAAATTTTGTACCTACTCCTTTGTCCACTGTTATTTCCATATTGTTAAGAATAGTTTAGGTTGGATAGTATTCAGTAACCAGTATGTTAAATTTTGTACCTACTCTTTTGTCCACTGTTATTTCCATATTGTTAAGAATAGTTTAGGTTGGATAGTATTCAGTAACCAGTATGTTAAATTTTGTACCTACTACTTTGTTCACTGTTATTTCTATATTGTTAAGAATAGCTTAGGTTGGATAGTATTCAGTAACCAATATGTCTTGTGCATATGAATGAGCATGCTATGTTACTGATTTTGGCACATATTACAAGATTCACATTGTTATCATTATTATTCCTATAATTGAATAAATCATAGATACAAATAATTGCTATTAAAAGAAATCAGTATTAGAAGTCATCAGTTTAAACAGAAATACACAGTAAAATTCATTAAGGGCCAAAAGAAATGGTAAGTCCCGAAACATTGAAAATTGAAATTTTGTCCTACAAAAATCTTCAATTTTATTTCTCCCAGTCAGTGGGAACCATATTCATTGTACACTGCAAGTCACACAAACCATAACATAATACTAAAAGACAACAAGGGATTTTTGGGTTCATCTAGGCCATCCTATCCACAAAATAAACTCAAAGCTAGCACTTATCATTCAAATATTCATCAAGTTTTCACTTAATTTAACTGCATCTAACAGTTGAAAGCAACCCATTCTAAAGGCCAACCACCCTTTTAAAAAACATTTAGCTGTCTTAGCTGAAGATGATTCCTACCCTGATGAAATTTATATTGATGTCTCCCTGGTCTTACCATTTTCACCAGTAATTATGTAAAAAGATGATGAATCAACACTATCAGTTCTCTTAAAATCTTAAACATCTCAATAAAATCCTCTCTAACTCTTCTTTTTTCAAGAGGAAACAAGTTCAGAGATCTTAACCTATCTTCTTATGACTAACTTTCCATCCCACATGTCATCCTAGTAGTGCTCCTCTGAACTCTTTCCAACAACTTAATATCCTTTCGAAGGTAAGGAGCCAATGACTGAGCACAGGACTCCAAATATGGCCTAACGAATGACATATACACTGACATTATAACCTCTTTAGACTCATATTCAATACTTCTGTAGATACAACTTAAAATCCTATTTACCCTGTTACTAGTGATGGCTTAAAAAAACTGATAAGCCAAAACACTAACATCTTTTTCTTCCATAACACTGTTAAGGGTATTGCCATCAAAATTATATTCATGATTCAACTCCCAAAACTTTAATGTCATTAGCAGATTTAAATGATCTATTGACCATTCCTTCATCTGTGTCATTGATGTAAAACAGCAAAGGTCCTAACACTGAGCCCTGAAGTACCCCAATTATTAAATTAATCTAGTTTGACAGATATCCATTTATAACAATCGTGTGCTTTTTTCCATCTAACCACTCCCTTTCTAACAACCAACCTGTCCCCTTGGTATTTTTCTCAAAATATTGTTCACCATACACTTTTAATGTCATTCTGCAAGAAACTATCAAGGCATTGTTTTGTCGATAATAGGAAAGCTATTAGCATTTCAAAATGTGTTTACACTCACACGCTAATTACAGTTCAAGAGAGAGATATATCAGTAAATATAGTGCCATTAAATACCTTAATTGTCCATAGGTAATTAAAATCAGCACTATAAAACAATATTGTGCTTAATACAAAACAAAAGCAATGTTATAATGAAACAAAAATTCAAAATTATTCTTCCATTACCAGTCCTCATTGTCATCCTTAAGTCATAATGGATAATGTCTGAGGCCATAGCACCCAAATCTGTTAGGGATTTTATATCTATCAGACAAAATTCTGATATAACCTTAAAGTAGAATTAAACCACCCTAAAATTCTACAATGTAAAACTCCCAACCTCCACCTTTTTTTTAATATTATAAGATACAAAAAGCAAAAAATATTCTTGTAGTAGAAATAAACCATCCTATATTTCTACAAAACTCCCAACCTTCACCCTTTTATATAATAATTAATTATGTTAAACAGAACTTAAAACCTTTAGTAGTTCTTGAATCCTATATAGTTCTTATGAAACATACAAATGTATGATATAAATAGTTTTATTGAATATTTTGTTGGAAATGCGTAATGTATATGGAGGTTTCTTATATCTTATAAGAGGACATTTAATAAGTGTTATGGTAATTGTTTCCATTTCATCACATTTCACTTTAGTATATAGTGTCGCCACCACAAACAGTAGAAAAGCCTAGAACTAGAGAGTTGGTAAGATACTGAGGTATCCATGGTAAGTCCTGTAAAAAAAAAACAAAAGAAAAACTGTTTCCAGGACATCTTGGGCATCTGGATTCACTAGATGGAATGTGATGTTTCCCAAGAGCAAACTCTTAATTCTTCAGGTGAAGATAGCTCAGTTGATTTGCACCATAAAGCTCCAAACAACCAACCACTAATTCTCTAGGTCAGAGTACAGTAAGCATGCAAACCACTGTTCAATAAGTGTTCAATAAATTTTGTGTTCAGTAATTTGTTTTTTACCTTGTTTTAATTTAGCTGTTGTCATATACTGGTTATCATATGTAAGGGATGGTCCAAAATTGTCAACCTTTTTTACAAGTATACAGAGTACTTTATTGTATGACCTCTCCTCCCCTTCCAAAAGAGTTCAAAGGAGAAAAGAATAATTATGATCATAAAAATGCCAATATATCATATATCGTTAAACTCATGGTTTTTTAAAACAAACGTTCAGTTTTTGTTTATGTATTGTTAAAATTTGTACGATTAAAAGGGTAATGTGTGTGCATGTATGGAAAGCTTTTTAAAATACATTAAACTGTGCACAAATTAAATTATGAGTAGGGAATTATGGATGTCATCACCATGTGTGTAAGGGAGAGATGGTATAATGGTAATATGTATTGCAAAGGGAAAGATATTTGGGGAATAAATCTCTGATCTCTTTGAATCCCATCTCAGACAACATTGTTTATGAGTTAAGGTTTTGTGTGTAAATTTCTTCATTTGTTTATAGACTCTTTGAGTTTTAATACTTCCAATACCCAGGTTTTGAAAGTGTTGCTAGATCTGCTGTTTCTTACTAGATAAGTCAATCAGTTTGTTATTTTCGATCAGATCACTTGGCTTAAATTGTCTTTTATATTAGAGGTGTTTGTTGTGTTACACGTGTTGTGGAATAGGTTTAATCATGTAGTCATTGAGATGCCCTGCATGGCCACAAAATTCATTCAGAACTCTACGTCCCTAACCTCCTATGCGAGTAGTATAAGCAGGTCACTCACTACTTAACTATTTTAATTACAAAAGTGCCTAGCAATTCCTCTGACCAAATGACACAAAACTTGTAGATGGGTTACTTTAGGAGTAATTCAGTAAGTTGTTTTTAAGAGGTGTCAGCCATTCCAGAAAAATATTGTGTTATAGCAGTCGCAATTTTACTTGTAATTTGATTATTGTTCATTGTTCTAGGATTTTCTTTTTTTTTTTTACACTATATTCCATGAAAAGATTGAATTGTCCACAAACATAGAGTTGAACGATTTAATCAATAACCTATAAGCAGTGATTACATTGATCAGTGTCACACAAACTGATCAGTTAATCAAAGCTATGATTTATTGATTAATGTCACACAAATAATTGTCTAACTGAAATTAGTGTTTTTTTATTACTACTTTTCAGTTATTCCAACAATCGATTAATCAAAATCATTATTAAAGCAATTGTTATGAAAATAATTAACTAGTCCAAATTAATTGTTCCAGTTATTATTTATTATGATTATTTCAATAAATGATCAATTGAAATTATGATTAAATTATCATGAAAAGTTTCGCATGTATGGATTTTCTCCTAAAGATTAAAGAATAGAAATTAGCTTTATTAAAAAACCTTAATTTATTTAATTCTATTTCCAGTTGTAATAACAAATAAAAATTTTCATAGATGTTTTTCCAGATTGAGGAAAGTTAACCTGTATATGAATTAATTGTGGAAAACTTTATGGGAGGTGGCATACAACTTGTAATGTTGTTTACAGTTTATGAACACTTCTTTTATAGTAACTTGTTTTGGCTTTTTTTATTTAGGTGCAGTACAGTTGGAAATTGTTTAACACACTTGGTTTTGGAAGAGAAAAACTTTCCAAATAGTATTCATGTACTTATGACAAAGCATCTGTATTTTATTAAGCAAGTAAAGACCATAAACTATGATTAGTTATGCAACAACTTCAACCTTTGAAGAATTTTTAATCGCAAATGTCTCTTTCTAACGAGGGTAAGTATTGAAATTTTTATGTACTTGTTTTATTTTTGTTTATGCTGTAACAGTGTAAGTAGATCCTAGAACAGAGGTGATTAACCTGCGTCATGAGAGGGAAAAACTGGTAGGATGCCTATCAGTTCCTAAGGGCTTTGTTTTGAAGTGCTTTTTTTGGATTAGTGGTACTTTACTATAAGTTCAGAACTTAAAATTGACAAAAATGCTAGAAAGATTGATCACCTCTCTACTAGAATCACATAACCATTACATAATTGCTAACAGTGTATGGTTGTAATTATAACTGGTGGAAAATATGATTCAGTTATTTTAAGTTTGTACAGACATTTCAGTCTCTTTTACAACAAAGTAGTAAGGAAAAAATACTCAAGGCTCCATCTAGGTATTAGCAGTGAGACTGTTTAAAGTTCAGTTATTATCATTATTTTTACATGATTTTCAATTCAAGTTTAACCCTCTGATAATCAACCTATCCACATGATGTATCCATAGTTTTAGCATTGGGTCACATATTGTACTAATTTTGGGTATATTTTAATTTCTCACTTTGTAGTGTTGAAAATTAAGCATTATATTATTTATGTGAGTAGAAAATAACATAGGAAAATTTTAGTATTAAGCATATATGAATTATATTGATCATATATAAGAACATTTATTTAATATTGTGATAATAAGAAGGTTAAAAATAATTGGTTATGTAGCAACTTTTATTACAATCATATTTACAGGCTGTGCATTTATGCTGTAAATTGGTTAATTAACATATAAACTTGTTCATTGTTTTTGTGTTTGAGGGATAATACTGGTAGGCTAAGTGACTCTCGTTTTTGTATGTTTTTAGTATACTAATTATATAGAATGAAATTACAGATGCATGATACCACCCAAATAAATCTAACTTGTCAAACAGGCAAGTCATCGTGAGAATGATAGTCTTGTCGTTGTTTAAAAACAATACAACTTTACCAAATTGAATCTCTTTTGTATTGGAACAGTTTAAGTACGAATAAAGTTTCAATATTGCAATGGATGTGCTTATAGCATTTACTAGCTGTCCCCCGAACCCAAGAAATTTGGCTGTTCAGATGTTCATGATCTTCATTTTATGAAAATTATAATCTAAGACAGCCTTTTTACAACCTTTATCAACATAAGAACAAGCAGGGTCAGAGCTAATAAGCTGTTTCTTCCATCAAGACCACCTTTTATCTCCAAACTGTCAAACACCATTTGTTCTAAATTTAATCTTTGATGTCCATAGGAATACATTTTGTTTGTGGATATATGAAATAATTCAAAATGGCTAGACTTAAATACTTAAAAACTTACCCAGAGTTCTCTATTGTTTCACATTTCATATGACTTATTATGCATGTGTCAGAAGAACATACATAAGCCAGCTTTGAATTCTGAAGTCAATGTCAACTACTCCTGCAAATGTTTATACAAATATTTGAAGTTTTACACCTTCATTGGAGGCCTTATTCAAATAGTCTACCAATAGAGTACAGATAGATCCCATGGCTGCATTTTTGACCCTTATTGATCAATGTATTCAGGTTTTTAATTCCATATTATATATTAATGTTACAGGTGGGTTTCATGTTCATGTGGCTCCGAAAATTTTCTGTCAAGTAGTCTAGATTTTTGCTGATCTTCGCCATTCACTTGGCATTGGCTTTTACGTGGATTATTTTGAACCTTTTGTTCATTCAGTCTTACGCACACACACTCAATTTGCCACTTGGATGACTATATCTCTTTGGTGGATCATCATAACTCAAATTCCCATTTGGTACCAATACTGTATATGATACATCTGGACTTTTGGATCAATACAGTTCAAGGAACACTTCTTCTCCTATAGTGTTGTAAGCTTTGGATACCTAAACACCTATTGCCAAAAATGCCCTTTCTAATTTGAGGATGACTTTATGCTTAGTGGGATCTGACTTTTGATTGTAACAGATTTATTATTATATATTTATTTTAATATGAACATTTGTTTATATTAAATTTATATTTAGAAACATACATAGCTTATACTGTTAAATATGTATTGCAAAAGTCCCGCCTATTCTCCAAAGTTGTAGAAGGTTCTCCAGAGTAAGAATCAACGATATATGTATGTACGTAAATGCTTAAATTTGTATTGTTACATAATCTGAATTTTCTAGAAAACCTCCACACGCCTATAAATATAACCTATGTGCCGTGCCAAAAGAGAGTATCTATTATTAGTTCGCTATAGTCAGTGTGCTATAAACTTTGGAAACTATAACGGTGATTATTATAATGCTTAGCAATTGGAAAACTTTAGATATTTGACCAGGAACCTTTACGAAGTTCGAACATTACAAATCATTTAACTTCAGTGGATTCTCATCGGACATTAGTATTTTTATGAAAACATTAAATAAATTCATCGTGGAAAACTCGACGTGTATGGCTGGTAAATAACGAAGGACAAAGCTAGCTAGCTCCCTGTTATTGTTAAGTGAATTATACCTACGTCAACTCATAATTAACTTGCTCATTGTGAACCCTCGATAAGATATCAAGGAAGTTCCAGACTATAGAAAAGACTTTATATTGCTTGTAAGTTTGTGAAACTTTTGTTTATAAATCATTGTTTGTAATAGCTGTTGTTGTAAATTGTGTTGTTATGTGTATATTAAAACATATTTGTATTAAAAAGAAAACTGTGTATCAATCTTGTTAGCAAATATCATTTAACTGACTATATATTGACTTTTACTTAACTGCTAAATCCAAAGTACAATTTAATTACTAAATTTAAATTTATCAGTTAGCTTAATTTCAGGCGATTTGAAATTCTAATACGTAACAAGATGCATTGTCACATAGCATGCCTTTTTCCCATCAATCTCATGTTTAACCAGTTTTGGTTGAACCAAGAGTGTATGAAAACAGGATCTTCTTTTTCTTCCTCATCTTTTAGACAGATGCCTCCATGTCAGTTGAGGAGCTGCATTGGGGAATCAGCATCATTCTGGTTCTTGGAATCCTCTGGAAGTAACAGCTCACATCAACATGTTAGAACTTTGGACTGTGTAGTGTACTTTCTTGAGTTTCTGCCCTTTCTACACTACTATTCTGTGTTAATTCACACAAACACTTCTGTGAATTTAGCTTACATCAGCATTTAGAGCAATACTCTTTCTTGTACCCTTTGCTTTGCATTTCCTTAGGTTCATTCTCAACTTGTTCAATTTCAAGCCTGTCACGTTCCTGGTGGGATGAACATTTCTCTAGTTTGTTGTGGAGTGGACCTTCCACTCTTTGGCTTTTCACTTGTTATATAAAATGCAGATTTTCCATAGATTAATGTATTTGCTAACTCAGTCAACCATCTTTTCTCCTTGCTGGTCTTTAGTTCTAGATCAAACTTCTCTGTCAGTGGATGCCCTAAGTCAATCTTGAGAAAACCTCTTCCTTCATGCCTGTCCTCCTTTCCACCTTCTTCCTTGAATGTTTACCAAGATTGTCTACTGAAGTTCAGGATTCTTATCATCACCCCATTTTAGTCAGTTCAACCATGATTTCTCTTATTATGTTGATTTTCTTATGGAAAACCAGTACCATTACAACCAGTGGAACATCTATGGCTTCATGACTGACTATTGTTTTATTCTTTGCCCAAAAAGCTGATTCTCTTCCGAGGTGGCTTCTTGCCAACACTCTTCCCTGTCTGTCTATAAATCTTATTGGGTTACCATCTTGAGTTGGAGCATTATGCATAATATCTGTTGTTTATCCCCATCTTCTCAACAAATTGCTTCTTTTCTTTTGTAATGTTTCATGATTGTGGCTTATCTTTTTCTTCCATAGCTTATCTGCAGTTTTCAGATTTCACAGAAACAATCATTCACTTTTTTCCTGCTTTCAAAGACTTTTTCCAAGCCTTATGTGTTAAATGACCCCAAGTTCTTAGATATTGTTTTAAGTGAGACTTGGGTGTATTTTTATGTTTCTTGACTTTTCTCCCTTTTGAAACCTTGGTGACTTGTTTGCTCTTCATCTTTATTTTTGGCTTTGCAGAATTTCTGATGTCTATGTTCTTTTTGCTTCATGCATCACAAACTTTATTTTCTTGAAAAGCCATATACTTGTATTTTTCAATCTAAAATGTATTATGTTACCTTTCCTGTTTGATCCTCATGCTTGTTCAGAGGAATGTTGTTTTTCTCCAGTCAGGTCTAATTCATTGTTATCTTGCTTAATGAATCTTCCAGAAGGGCTTAGAAAAAGTTGTTTATACTATAGAATAAATCATACTTCTCATATCTTGATCCATATACTGTACATTAACAGATTGACTTGTGCATCTGATCCATCTTGTTTTTGTAATGTTTATAAACACCTTAAAAGTGAATTTTCAGGTTACATCTCACCATATTCATCATTTGATGTCTTTGACTTTCCATACACAGAACCCTTTAGAGGATATCCTACAGACTTTCATCTGAATGAATCTGAACACATTCTTACAATTTTATTTACATCACATTGTTGTCCCTTCAGCTTCATATTTCTGTTTTCCTCAAGTTTTAATTATTCAAGTGAGATGGAATTCTTAGTAGGTTAGTTTTTCTCTGTTAACTGCTTTGTTTCCCCTTGGGTCCACACCTTTGACATACATGATCATCAAAGTATAATTTCCAGAGGCATCTGGTGTGAGGTGTCATTTGAATATGAAAAGAAAAAAAAACAATATCTCCCTTACGAAATAAGACTCCATATTTGAATGGGTTCATTCTCTCAGGACTCTTGTATGCTACATGTACCTTTGTGATTCTACTAGATAAATTTTGCCATCTGTGATGGTGTTCTGTGAGAGGGTGATAATCTCTTGAAGTGGATAAAAACTGCAACCTAGTGGTTGGTGATACTTTTTGAGGCATGCATGTTCCTGTGTGGCATTTGAGACATCATAAATAAGATGCTTGTTCTCCATATGATATCTCATAGCTCCAATCAGGATTGGAAACACCTTACATTTTTATTTTTTAACATTATTTGTTGTTCTCATTGTACTGTCTGAGAGCTGTAAAGCCTAATATTGAATCTGACTAAGAATGAAGGTCACCTTAGATCCAGGAAAATATATATAGTAATTACTTATTACTGGTCTCCTCCTTTGAGAATCTTTCACTTCAGGTGCAGAACAACGCACTGCACTCTTATTCAGCATATCCGTTATGCCTACACTTGTGTCCACACTTGAGAATGTGTGTGACTTCATGGATAAATATAATATTGCCCAACCCCTGCTCTTTATATATATATTATCTAAATGGTGTCTAGAGCGATGAGGTATTCTGCTAAGAAGAATTCCTTATTTCTGAGTGTCTTAACTTTGAGATTGGTCTTCTCCACTCATTTCTCCGATGCATTTGGTCTGCTGACCTTTACTCTAGTTCTGGATTCTCCTCAGCTTCTGCTTGACCACTTCTTTTGATTGCCATGGTCTAGGTTATAACATTCCTGTCTGTGGGCTGAACTTTTGATGAACTAATTTCACCCTCCATCTCTTTTTCCCTGAAATGCATTACTAAACACTTTCTCACTACTTTAGTTAAAGAAATCAGGCTTATGATGGAAAAGTAGAACTTATGTATGTTATACTGATGCATGCACAATAAATAAGGTGGGAGAGTGGAGCATTCTATGCAAGTTGATGCATGGTCTTCGCAGTGCTACTGACATTCAGAACATAGTCATTGACAAAACATTGACAACATGAGAGCAAACTCAACAAGGAAAGGCTTTTAGTATTTCAGAAGTAAGTATCTGCTGGAAATTAATTTTAATTCTAAAAATATAAAAATTAAGTTAAATAATGTAACCACGGTAACCGCAAGATTAATGAAGCAATTTGTACAACATTATTGTATTTTGAATGTTTGTACTATTTCTGAAATTAGTCTTCATATGTGAAAGATATATATATATATAACTTAAGTGCAGTATTGTTCCCTGCTTTTTGTATCTAATGCTCTATAATGAACCATGATAGTGGTTCATAATATGGATAGCACAGAAATTTGCTCAAAACTCTACAGCATTTGGGCAAAAACCACCTTAAATAGCTAACTTATTCTTGAAACAACACTCAAAATCTTCCTTTTTAATGGTGAAGACCACTCAAACATTGATAATAAGCAAAATAAGTGATTTCATGATTGTTATACAAAATCAAAATTTTACCCATTTGTTCAGATTATTGTTTCAAAAGCCTACAGCAAATTCAGTTGGGTATTTTGCACCAAAGCCTAGACAGATATACCATATGGAATACTTTGAATGTCCGTGATCTATTTTTCACTGAAAGTTGATTTACATGGTTATAAATACATAATAGATGTGATGTTCTGAGCAGCTGCTTTTGTACTCGATGCATGTTAAACGCGTTCACACTAAACTCCAGGTACAAAGCCACCTTGCTGAGTAAATAATTACTTTAAAAGATGTGAAACTTTATTTCAAATAAGATTTTAGATGTATTTGTTTTATTTGAAAAACCTGCTTTTCTACTGGTAAAATTTTAATTGCAATTAGTGAGATTGTGTCTTACTCTATGCATATACTTACTTGGCCATTGCTATACATTGAAAGAGGCCAACATACAAGATAATTAAAAATTGAGAATTTAAAATCTACAAATAGGGATTGCAAGAGTAAGGAAACAAGGCTGAGGATCTACTGCTGGCAGTTTGCTCGTGCTACAAATCCCTGTTATTACTCCGCTATAAAATTATTGCAAGTGATATATACTGTTGTTTGGGATCGCAAAGGAATTTTGCAAAACACAGAGAGTAGTTTTAAAGTTAATTCAACCTCCTTAATTTTCTGCCATAAAAAAAAAAAAATCCAGTGTTTTCCTAGCATGTGCATTAGTTGGAAATTACAACTTGTGCATTTTCTAGCACATTAATTGGAAACTGCCATGTGAAAGATTCCCGATTTTACTGTTTTGAGACTTACTCGAGTGGATATTGTTCATCGTTACTTGAGTTTGCTGTCTCTATGTCGATTTCTGCAACAATTTTTCAACAAGTTTTTAACAGATAACGATTACCATAGTAGATTTTCCTACTTGGGTGACGGTGGTGATTCCTTTTACTGTTTCTTATACTTAGCTGAAATCGTGAGTGCATATTCGGTGTTTATTACCACTGCATATAGCACTATTTCATATAGCTATTGCTATAGTTGGTGTTAAGGTAGCGGTTCTAAATGTTGTCAATAATTGGCAACTTGTGCTAAATGTGTTGCTGTTATCTGTTTTGCATGCATTACTCGTGTCGCTTTATTCTAGCAAACTTGTGCACAGCAGGCTGTTGAAGAACATGCACGTGTCATGTAGACTTAACAAGGAAAGCATGTTACTGCATCTGTTTACATTGCATTAATCTATGTTGTATTAACTTAGAAGAAACATTCTTCCATTCTGATGAGATTGCTTTGAAGCTGCTTGTCGTTTGTTTCGTTGCTCTTAGACATTGATGGAAACCGGTCATTAAATCTGTGATGATACAATCTTTGCCTTCAAGACGGTCCTTTGAGAACAACTTTACATTTTGTTTGTTGTAGTTGCATACCAGTACATGAGTTTATTATTTGTTGAACATTTGTTATTTATTTTAAATGAGTTCAATATGGTGGTTGGGTGGAAAAAAAAGCCAATGCAACGGTAAGCTGTTGAAGAATATCTAACATTCAATTGAACATATATGCATGTATGTAACATAAAAATTTATTCTCCATAAATGGATTTAGAAAAATTTAGAAACAAGATTAGTAAAAATTGTTAACTTAAAAAGGGGGAATAGGGATTGTCAAAAAAAGACAGAAACAAGTTCCCTATTTTGACTCCACAAAGATTGATAAGTACAGTAGACATGGATTCAAAATAGGGATTTTTAGCTTGAAAAAATAACGTAGACATTATTTCCAGCCTTGTTTGTTTATTTTAGTCTCTTGTTGTAGGCTTGAAAGTATAATCTTGGCATTTTGGTTCAACTTGTTTCTGTACTTTTTGGATGATCCCTATTCCCCCTTTTTAAATTAATTTTTATTAATTTTGTATAATGTAGTTCCTACTGCAAAACAAGAAACTTGATGTTTAAATAATTAGATGAAAAAATACTAAGTCTTCATTACTACTATTGAATTTAGTCAACATAACAGATTTTTGTCAGTTAGTGATTGTTGATAACTTGTAATTTGCCTTTTTAAGTGTGGCATGAAATGTTAGAGCTGGATGTTTAGTGTAAGTTGATAAGTGATTAAGTTGGAGCTTACATGGAACATCAATAACTGGAATAATAACAAATCTTAATAATTGGAAACTCCGGTTTTGATTATTTAAAGAGTTTTGACACTGATTAAATTGAATAACCTTGCATTAATTCCAAATGATAAATGAAATCATGATAGCAATATTTCAATTACTTGGATAGTTGAACAGTTGGAAACACTAATTTTGGTGAGTTCTTTTCGTAACATTATAATCAATTTAAGCATATTGATTAATCAAATATTTTACACGACACTAATTAATGCTCATAGCTGATTGATTACATTGAGTTAATTGCAAAGCTCTAATCACCATCAGGATATATTTCAGATTGCTTAGTTCATGCAATTTTGTTTAATTGTTTGTAGTTAAATGAAATAAACCAAGAATGAGCAAGTGTATAGTGTTGAAATTTATTTTTTTAGTTTTAATCAAAACGTATATTATTATTGAAATTAATGGGGTTTTGTCATATGGTAATGCCTGAAGTAATTTTTTTTCATTAGGTGTTCTTCAACAACCATGAGCAACTAAGGAAGTATAAACGTTTTAGGCACCCCTACTGTGTGGGGGAGCCAATTGCATTAAAGGACCATAACCTGGACATTCTAGAAGCAGAAGTTGTCCGTGTTGACCAGTGTTACACGTTGTTGTATTCACTTAGTCTATTATACATTGTGTGATAAAGTTTTATAGCTGTTTGTTTATATACTTTGTTAGAGAAAAAGAAACTAATAGAAAGATTTTGGTATGCAGCAAATTTTTATGTAACTGTGATAATCTACCCAATCTGTGTCAAATACTCATTGGTAGAGCAGAAACTTTTCTGGTGCTTCCAGTTGCTTTACTCTGTGATACTGAAAGGAAAAATACCAAGAATGTGCCTTTTTCTGGATTGAACCATAGTGTTTCCATCATGAATCTGTACCAAGAAGTCAAACATGTACCTGATTGTATACCAAGGTGTCGCTCTAACACACATGGAGCACAGATTGTAGCAGCCACCATTAGAGGCACTACAGCAGAGGTACAAGCTTATTATAGGTAATATTATTATAGTTGACTTAAACGACTTAACTTTTCACTCTTGAGAATATTATTACTAACAGGTTCATTCTGTCCTTACTAACAAAAAGTGTAACAAGGCCAAACAAGTGATGTTAGCATAATTTAAAGATCATAAAAAAAAATTAACAACTATTTTGTCTATCTATAATATAATATTAAACTCTAATGTGTTTAATTGTAATAATTTTCCTCTTCCATTTGTCTTGTTGTTTAGTATGTTTTTCTTTAGCTGGTGATATAATGCATGAACAATTATACTTAAACCACACAAAGCTGTTAAATAAAATCTTTAAAAGCTTCATTGATCTTTCGGTTATAAAGCACAAGTCAACTTCCAAATTATTCTGTCACTAAAAACAACTTGGCCTACTGGATCATGTAATTTTGTTTTCAAGTTAAAAGAAAAAAAGCTTTCAAATAAATTGTGTATTTTTTATTTAGTGCATGAGCAAAAATGTAAAATAAAAATTAATCTATGAAGTGGTTACACTGATCACAACCACAAAGCTCTTTATTTTTACAGTATTAGAGTTTAAAAATTTTCCAAGTTTATAACAGTGGGTACTTATGAATGATAACTTATTGTTTTTAAACTAGTGGTTCAATGACTGGCTACCACCATCATGGAATTGCCAGTTTTATAATATTGTAACTATTGAAAGTTATCTTTCCTTGTCTGTGTCTATTATAGGACTAAATACTAACTTATACCTGTGAATTAGACAACCATTTAATTGGAACTGAAATTATACTTCCTAGGACCATGGTTTTGTATGTAATCCAAGCAGAATGATGCTTCTTGTATTACTTTTTATACAAAGAAACCATAAATTTTCTGTTACAAAACCTTATCTAGAAAATAGCTTTAATGCAATGAAAATTAATGAATTTACTTTTGTTTATTTTCTCTGTGTATTTTACTCTTCTAACTACTGTTTTTCTGTTGTAAGAGAGCTCAAGGGTACTTTTTTTTTTCTTCAAGTTCAGCTAGATTGGCTTCTTGAGTTTGTATTGATATTTACCTAGTTTCTGTACTTAATTGCTTCATGGGTATCATTAACATATTTTCTTGCTTCTCTAGATGTGATTTTAAAGTACATTGTACTTGTATTTGACAAAAAAATATTTCATTTGTTCTGTCCCATTTTCTGATTTGGTGCTGGCAATGAAAATAATATAAAAATCATTGCAAAAGTTTTATTTACCTTAAAATCAATATGTCAACCTATTTGCAATTGTTTTTTTGTTCATTTTGTAAATGATTATTTTTGAAACATTCTGCATGATTCATGGCTTCATTGAGTAGAGAAGTAAGTAAAGATAACTGAATCAATATATGGTATCTGGCAAGTGAAGTTACATGTAGAACAGCTTAGTTTTAATGTATTTCAAGTTGGGTAATATTCAGAGGCTGACATGATATGTGGTGGACACAATGCAGGCAATGGCATAGTGAAGGTGTCTGGCACCTGGGGCAAAACATAATCTGGCATTCCCCCCAAATATCCCAACTAAATTTCCTATTAACTTTGAGATGTCAATGTATTTTAATCAATCTAACACTGAAAAACAAGGGATTTCCCGAGTCATGATATTCCTGATATACTAATATTTGATATCAATCATAAGAAAAATATTTTAATAAACCTTAGTCTTATGGGAACAGCTAAATTCTGGGTAAATTGTTTGTTAATTTTGTACCCCTCAGCCTGGTCCCTGGGGGCAAACTCCCCCCTCTATGCCACTGAGTGTAGGTAGCCAATTGTGTAGCTTTTCACTAAAAAATACCAGTCATAGCATTTACTCCAGCTTGCAGTGTTAGGAACCAGTCATGTAGGTTATTGGGTATAAAAGATTAAAACACTCGTGATGTCATGGATGACACTTGTTCAATTTAAATCAAATATAAAAAACATTATCTAACTATATTAATATATTTCATTTTGTGAAGTTTATGCAATATCTTTTCAACATTAATTATCATTAGTAGTAAATTAGAGTTAAATAGACTTCTGATACGATAACTCTATACTGCCCTCTATACGTGCAAATTTTTGCTTGCCACTAGCAATGTGCTATCACCTACATCCACATGTTTGCATGTGTTACAGCTTCTTGTAGCATGCAACAACCCTCCACCACTAGCAGTGCAACACACTCTTCTAGTGCAGCTGACTCCATTTATACTGTATAATCCAATCTTCACTTTTCAATTTGGCACATTCAAGTGCAGAAGTGTTTTAATTTCTCACATTTTTACTTAATTTTTTTATATTTCACCTAATTTGTTCAACAGATGACTTAGTTATCTTACATTCTGCATTATTCTGTGATAATTTGTGGATTGAATTTATTTTATCCACTCAAGTTTCTTTTACTTGAATTCTCAAAATAGTGTTACAACGACTACTACTTTTGTAACACTTGCCGCTGTACAAAAACTGTCATTTCTGTGGATCACACCCTGACATTGTAATGTACTTTTCATGTTTGCATCTACCCATCTCTGTGGGGTTTTTGGGGGAGATTTGTATCCTTTCTTTTTTCCTCTCCCTTTGTACCTATATAATTGGCTCCTCTGTTGGTGGGATCTTCTTGGTGGTATACACTGTTTACTCTGGTGCATCTTCTTCCTCCACTTTTTCTTTGCCCTTCATTTCGCACCATATTTTGTGACTGTCAGCATTTGGGAGTCTTCTTACCTCATGGGAGTCTGAAGTGGTACTTTCTTCTTGATTTTCCTCCTTGTTTTCAACATTTTCAACTTATTAGGGCCTGTTTCTGTGTCATTTACTCCTCCTTCCTCCCCTTTCCCAGTGCTTCCTATCCGGGTTTCAGGGAGAGCCACATTTCTTACATGCATTCATCATAAATACTTGAGTGATTCATGTTTGGATAGGACTCTCCCTTTCCCATCCTCCACTCCTCACAGGCCTTTTCCTTACCTCTTCCTAGGGATTCTTTTTTTTTTCTAGCATCTATCAGAATCAGTAGGGGGTCTCATCAATTGGAACGCTATCTTACCAGTAAATTACTCTTATCTGGGGTTTTCTTCCTAGTTGTTTGTAGTTTGCTATTATCACAAAGTTGAATTCCTGTAATTATTCTCCACCCTGGACCATTTCCTTGATCTTCCTCATTCTGCTATGGATTTGTTTTGTCTTTTCACCTTTCAGTGAGTTTTTACTCAGGCTGTTTGGTTGACCAAGGTGGATGTCTCGGATGCTTTCCTTCACATACCTATTTTCCCCAGCATCCCGGCATCACCTTTGATGTTGTCCTCAGGAGCCTATGTCTTTTCATTCTGTGGTTTACCAATGGGTCTTGCTTCAACACCCTTCGTTTCAGCCAGGTGGTCATGAACTTTGCCCATTTTCTGTGGTTTTATACAGCCTGCTTTTAAAAATAGGGTTCCATGGCCATCCATTGCATTTTCTCTGGTATTATGTTCCTCTGAACTCCACACTGCATTATCTCCCCCCTCTTCTAGTGAAGTATGGGAGTTCTTACCACTTCCCTGCTCCTAGCTGCTGGGGTGATGGACCATATAGGCTTCCTCCTGAGTGTGCTCAACCCCACTCATTTGAGAGTAGGGCAGTGGTGTTCTGCCTGTGTAGATGATGTGCACTCTCCTTGTACTATGGACCTAATGTACCATTCCAGATGCTGCCTGGTGATGGACTGGATGATCTTGCCACATGAAATCTACCCATCTGGCTGGGAGCCCTCCTTCCTACCACTGCCTTAATGTCGGTTCCTAGGTGTGCTTGTTTTTTTTGGAGCTGGACTTGGCCACCATAAGTCTTCACACATGTAGTTGGGCTGGGCTCCTTCTCCTGTGAACTAGAGGATACATTCCCAATGCCGCATAGTTTTGACTCGAGTTGACCCTCCATGTTGCATTCCACATTTCTACCATTGCCCGAACGTCAGGTTCCTGGGTGCCTGATGTTGGTTGTATAGTGCATTTGCACGCATTTTCTGACCTGGGTTTTCAGAATGGAAGTCCTTTTCCCATCTGATTCCTGGTTCTGAGGTGAAGACAGTAGGGACCTTCTTCTATCATGGCCTGGACAATCCCTTCCTACTGCTGACTGATTTTGGACTAGAGTTAACCTACTGATTATAGTCTGCTGTACCCTAGCCACTCTACACCATTGGGCATGTCCATGTTTCTCTTAGATGTGTATCTTTTTCCACCCATTTAGTGGCACACATCTTCACAATGGGAAAAGAGTATACCTGGTACAGATGTGGTGTAGTCTATTCACACTTCATGGGTTGATGGGTTGTCTTTGAACACTTCAATGTAGGTGGGAGTACAAGGCTAGTGGTAATCGAAAATTTGTGCATATAGAGGACAGTAGTTGTTCCAAAAAGTTATTAAGTGAGAAGAGGTAAGTAAAACATTTTCCATTTGTCTGTACAAATAAACTATTTCTGTTAGTGATTCTAGTTTGTAAGAAGAAAAAAATTAAGTTTTTTTTTCATCACAAAAAAAATAATAATAATGAGAGAGCAATACATTTACGTGATTTTTGATTCACTTTTTGTCATAAAGATTACAATAGAAACTCAGTATATTACTAGATAATGTGTTGTTTTAGTCACGTAAACTTGTAGGCCATGCAGGAAAATAGAAAATTCTATACATCATCCTCTAAATATCAGCTGTAATTCTCTGCATCTTTTTCACAGCCTGCATTTTAGATGTTTTTTTGTATGTTTAGTGTGAACATACATTTTCTGTTTAAGAATGTTTTCAAAGGTTAATTTTTAATAAGGTTAAAATCAGTATATCACTTTTCCTCTATATATATATATATGTACATCCCTACACATATTTTGACACATACAGTTATGTAATAATAAAAAAAACAAGAATAAAAAAAGTTCAACTCTTCAGATATTAAAAAGTATATATATATATTAAACCAAGTGACCTGTACACGTTTTAGCTCTTGGTAAAAATACTGTTACTTTGTTCTTTAGATGGCTCTGTTATAACTTTGCCTTTGCCACTGATTGCTGGGGTAGAACTGCCTTGCATATGGCAGCATCTTGTGGTAAATGGGAAGTGGTGGAATGGCTTATACATAAGTGTCACTCAGACTTAGATGTACGAGACAAAGAGTCGGGATGGACTGCTTTACATCGTAGTTTGTTCTATGGACAATTGTCTGTAGCAAGGATTTTGTGGAAGGTATGTTTATTGTAAAGTTCCATTGATCAGAACATAACATTTAGACTTGTGTTTGTGTTCTCACAGAGATGTGTCATTTATCACAGGTTGATAGTTAAAGTAGGTTTTAAAGTAGAGGACATTAAAACACAAATTACCGGTTGTCCATCTTACTCTGTTCAGAAATTAGAAATCCTAGGATGTGTTTTTTTATACATAAAACTTGATCAGAATAACTTACATAATTTTGTTTTCTTCTGTTTCAGACATTTTGTAAGACTTGTTGATACAGCAAGCTATCCTTTGCCAAATATCATTTTTGAGTCCAACTTCAGATTTGATAGTTAAAAACTTAAGCTCTAAATTGCAAATAATATGCTCTGTGTTAAACATGAACTGCAAAGGAATCAAACGTTTCTTTATACATAGTTGACAATCTGTTATAATTAACTTATATGCATCAGCTCTACTGCATAAGTGCTGAAAATGGGGGGCATTGCCCCCACTTTTAATAACGTGAACCTGGGTAAAATAGGTGCTTTTCAAACAGAACAGAGCAGAAAAAGTATTGACAGTCCTTAACAGGTTAACTGCTGCAGTGCTTGGTATCGTCCATGGAAAATGCTTATAAGAGTTTGTGCAATATCGTTGTTTTCGAATTAAATAATACCAATAATAACAACTCTAAAACGTAATTTTTACATTTTTTTATTTACACCACACACGTGCATTATTAGCACACACGAAAGAATGCTAAATGTGCACATGTACGTCCTCAGCAATGAATGTGTTATAGAACTGTAATATACCTCACATTATTACAGGACTAATATGACTTGTGTGAAACCTGGAATGATCTTTGACAAAGTGTACTGGTCACATTCCAAGAGAATTGACATACCACTTTAGGAAAAATTGGTTTTTACACTATTGGTGATTTTATTCAGCTAATAATATTTTAGAGCAGTAAACAGTATGTCAAATTCATAATACTGAACCAAATCAAACATGACCAGAGTACCCACAATGCACGTTGTTTCCCTCTAATTCAGCATTTATAGAATGATAGATTTTATCTTTGTTTTTGTTCTGGAAAATTTAAGTATCAGAGTGTAAAAGACATTGAATTTTTATTCTTAATTTGGTTCATTCTCAGAGTGAGAATTCATTGTTTTTATTGTTTTAACTTGTTTCAATATCAGCTGAGGGGTTATTATTGTTGTTGTTTTTTAACTTACTTCAGTGTCAAAGTGGAGAATCATCTCTTTTGTATTGGTTTAGCTTTAACTGTCAGAAGAAATCATTTGAAAGTTTATTATTTAAACTTGTGTTTTCAGAAGTAAAGATTCATGTTAAAGATCTGTTGAAAAAACTTGTGTTAACCATTTTCAAGTTACTATTTCTGGTAATCAGGTGTGTAATCCTAATGTAGATTTAATCACTTTTATTCCTGATCATAATTAAAATAATCAAAAAATGTGTTTGTTTTTTCATTAAGTAAGTATATAAATGTATTCATGTATTATTTATCCTACAAATTTTACCATATTACAGAGAATATGCAAGTATTTGCCAAAATTTATGAACTTAATTGATTTTGTGATATTTCATAATTAAATTAGAATGGAGCCAGTTTACGTATTACTGACCATGAAGGACTAATACCTTTGGAACTAATCATGAAGGATAGGCTTCCTTATGTGGAGTATACACCATCAGGTAAACGTTGTTTATGGTGGATAATTGAAATTTTGGGTATATTATTATTTCCCTTCCTTTAACACCTTTATTATGGAGTGTCAAAAATTATAAAAAATAGTATGCTAGTTTAAAATGAAATATTCTAATCTACAAAAGAAAAATAGGATGATAATATTTTAAGTTTAGATATTTTATTCGTGTTTAGTGATTAGTTTTTGAAATATATGTATGTATGATTTGAGTGGTATCACTTTAAAGTGATGAAAATGTGATTTAATTTGCAGCTTAACACTTGACATAAATAAAAATGTAGTTAAACCTACTACTTCTAACCTGAAATTGAAAGAGTATTTAACTTGCAGGTTATTAATTAAAACTGATGTGAGTGTAGTTTAATTTGTAACTTCTGATACAGATCTGGTTGAAATGTGATTACCTTGAAACTCAAGAGTTGAGTTGGTTCATTGAACTGACTCCATATTGGAGAGTTATTGTTTACTACAATACCAAATTTATTATGCATACTACACAAAATTGGGTAAGCTTTAAGTATTCATGAAAAGTCTATCTTACTCCAAAAAAGCAAATTTTTTTAATAAAGCATTTGTATTAAAAATTTGTCTGAGAATTTACAAAGTCAGCCTTACTCACACCCTGACTAGTTTGAGTGCAAGGTGATTTTAATGTTAAGAATAAGAATACATTTTTTCATCTTACAGTTTTAATATTTCATTTACAATAACCCCTAGAACCTCCTAAATGAATATCAAGTTGCTGTGTGTTTGTTTTGTGGAGGGGGAGATAAAACTTTATATTTATCTCTTATTTTCACAACTTTAACTGTAGTGAAATCATCTGTAGAAAAAGTTGAAAAATACGAATTAAATTTTTTGTTCAAGATTGACTGCAAATTCTAACAGACAATTACAATTATTTATCCTAAATGGCCTTAAGCTCAAAATAGTTTGCATCTGTTTTAATTTAATTTTATTGTTTTATTTCTTTTTTAACCATTCTTAAGTACTAAGCCTGCATAACAAAGCTATAGATCAGTCAGTGAGGGCATAGCTCAAGCTATGGTTAACAGAGTTTTGAATTACGTAACTCACATGCAGCTTGCTTACGTACCTTGCTGAGAAATTAAATTTTTTTCACTTGTTTTCTTTTCTAACTTAATAAGTTCATAATTGTTACATTTTAATTCTTTTATAACAATAGATAAAAATGTACATAAAAAAACAAGAAATTTAATACTAACATGTGGTCTTCCTCTTTTTTGCTCTGTCTTAATGAAAGTTAACCCATTAATTTATCTTAAAAAGGCAATTAAAACCATAAAATCTTAATCTGCAACAACAACAAAAATTTCTAAAACTAATATAATTTAAATGGCTTCATAATTAAGCTATATATGTGATAAAATATTTTCTTCCTTCTAAAGGTGATTTCAGTGATGAAGTTGACATAGATTAATTCAAAACTAGTTGTGAGAATGAGCTAGCCTCACCAGTAAATTAAAATCTTCTCTTTCTATTGGTTATAAATAATCGAAGAGCAAATTTCAGAGAGAATTATTACATTTTGTAAAGACAGCATATGCTAGGAGGGGTATGGCATGTGAGTTTACAGTTTATAATATATAACTTATTAAAGCAAAAACAATAGAGGCTATGAATTTTAAGTTTAGTTCAAAGATATCTAATGTATAAGTGTGTACGTCCTCAGAAGCTTAAAAAAAGGGTTGAAAGAAATTCCAACATGGACAATTTGGAACAAAGTAGTGTCACATAATACATAAAAGTGAAGATTGAGAATTTATTTAAATAATGCCTTTTGAAATTAAGAGATCAAACTTATAAAATATTAAAATCTGGGTTATAAACCACATTTTGGCACCATGTTTATTGACTTGCATTAATGATAAAGTAACTGAATTGAATTTTAAATGTAACTGAAAACAAAAAAGTCATGATGTGCACTTTGACCTACCCATGTCTAGAAAATTAATGTAACTAACATGCAAAATTTCCTTCATTAACATTGATTAATGGCAGGAAAATGCAACAAGACTTTACAACCCCATCACTAACTGGGTGACGTAATGTACGATGTCACTTCCTACTGCCATCAAGTACATTAGAGAAATATGTAGTTTAACTTAGGTTTAGATTTTGCCCTGAAAGTATAATTACAATCCAAGATAGTCTGATGATCTTGTCTTTTCTGCCAACTACTTGAAAGAATCACATTATATAAGCTTAATCAAGACACGTGGTAGTGTGTCGTGAGTCCAAAACAACCTACAGAACACACTGTGTGTTATTAACAGGAATGATAGTTTAGCAATTTTCCATTTTCTATAACTCAGACTGTAGTAATCCAAACTACCATATATTTTCAATGGATGTGCTCTGCTGGACCCTTACTTCACATACCAAATTTCAAGGCAATCTGTTAAGAAATACACAAGATATAAAATCTCCAATTTTTATTGAATTTCTTCCTCTTTTTTTATTCTTCTCACTGAAAGTATAGAAACTTTTTTGATAGAAAAACATGCTTAACATTCATGGATTTTTTTTAATTTGGTACTCTGATGGAACTTTACAACCTACCATTAGGTGTCAAATTTGGTCAACATATAAGCAACATGTGCAAAGTTATTCAACAAAAATTGCTTAATTTTGACCAAAATTTTTGCTCACACCTACACAAAAAGTCATATCAGCTATTGGTCTAAAATTTACTACAGCTTCACCTAAGAGTAAAGATGGACCATTTTTAATTTTTTGTCATTCAGATTAAAGACTGTTGGTTTAGAGCAGCAAAACTATAGGGGTGAAAGCATGTGCAGATACATAAGTATTAGTTAGGCCAAGCATACTAGATTATCAGTTTCTAGCTCAAGTTTTCAAAAGAATCATATGGGTGGATGGTTATTATTCATTGCCGACTTTCAAGCACAAATTTGTTAAGTTTTATGAAATTCTCCTAATTAACCCTACCATTACGGGTTGGGTTGGATCCACCCAGCTCATAACCACAAAAGTATCCATAAGAGTAATTATACTATGATTTTTTTATAATGTATGTGTATCTTTACAAACTTTTGCAGATTATTAGTACTCAAAATATCAGATTTTTTTACTAAGTTTTAAGATTTCTTAAGTAATGTTTTTATCGTGCCTTTTTTCTTTTTGAATGTTGACTATCCAACTTATAAAGTAATTTTGATTTTAAGATTATAAATACTTTTATGCATCAGAACATTTTCTAATATAACATACAAAATCTTTATAACCTCCAGATGATTATCAAATGTTTTTTAGAAAACAAAATTATATTTTATCTCTTGTTTTCACTACTGTATCTCTGTATGGGTTGAGTCGATTTGACTGACCTCGTAACCACCATAAAAAATTAGGAAATAAATATAAATTGTGCTTTTTTTGTTCTAGAATGACTACAAATTATAACTCAAAAAACACAAATGTTTAGTCTAAATAGCTTAAATCTCATAACATTATACATATTTATTATTTTTATTATATTGACCTTTCAGTCATGCCTGGCTAACATTACAGAAGTTGCAATGATGCAGTGCATGTGCACTCATGTTACCATATCCAGGAATATAAAACTGGCCTTTATAAAGTGACCTGTCTTGGCTGTGTTTTACTTTTAGTACACTAGTATTTTGTAAGATACAGTCACATTTCAGTTATAATACATAATAATGTATATACATTATTACTATTTACAAAAAACTTTTTTTACTTATATTAATATTTATTAAAACATAGAACAGTAAATAAAGAAGTATTGCAAACAATTAACTCTTCTAGTTACGAACATTGTATTCGGTTGCTGCTTGCCATAGGTTGCTAAGCCTTATCAAATTTTGCATGTGGAGGAGGTGAGGCAATATTATTTTTATAGGTTTTATACATACATTTTGAAATAATCAAAGAACATAAATTACTATATCAATACCATAGAATTCCACTTTAATTTATCAAGTTTAGCAACTAAGCTGTATTTGGGTATAAAAAAAAATATGAAATTTTTGAGCTCACTAAAACCTTACCTTATCCCTTGAAGTCTGTCATGAAAAGAAAGGATTTCTTGCGTAAATACTTTCCAAAGGCTCAGAGAACCAAGTGGCGACATTCTGAGCTTTCGATTGGTTATTGACACTTCATAGACAGAAGTAGGTGTTTTTGATAACATTTTTGCATCATTAATTATCAGTAGTTCTGTAGAAGTATGTTTTTTAATATTTGTGTGTGTGTGTGTGTGTGTATTACTACTAGAAATAAATAATAATGTACAAGTACAGAATTTTCATTGATGCCAAAGTTTTCCTGACAGATTTTCATTTAATATTCTTGAAACAGATTTATCAGAAATTTACGTTTGGGGATCTAACACAAACTTTAACCTTGGTATGGGAAATGGCCAGAGTAGGACTTACCCAGAAATTTTAGAAAACTTTCGCAGAGACTCGGTTTACATCAAACAGGTGAGAATCTAGGAGCTGTAAGTATTTTCTATAATAAGTAACATTGAATACAAAACTTTGTTATACAACAGAATCACATTTATGAAAGAATTGTACTCTTGGTCTTATTCACTTTCAAGTTTTACTCTTAACCCTTTGTTTCAGGTGGTTATGTGTAAATTTCATACAGCTTTTCTAAGTACAAGAGGAAAAGTGTTTACATGTGGTCATGGTCATGGTGGTAGGCTTGGTCAGAATTCTGAACAGACAGCATTAACACCATCTGCTTTGCATGGGGTTGGAGAAAGCCATTTCATAGAAGTATCTGCTGGTCAAGACCATTTGGTACTCCTGTCAGAGGGGGGTCAGGTACGTTTGCATATCTCACATAAGTTGAAGATATAAGCATAAGACCAACTTAGCAGTCATGAATATCTCTTGATCCAGTTACCGAAGTAAAATATTACTGAATTTTAGTTTAAACTTGATTTGTTTTAAAAAAGAAGTATATATGAAAGTTGCTTATTGTAACATGAGATTTGCCTCTATTCATCTAGTATTTCTTATTTTGAAGGAAGACAAGTGCATATTTATTATTAGTGTGTGCTTTTAGAAGAAATCTGTATCTCTACTTGTTGAAGACATTTCAATTTGGACCTGATCCATATCATAAGCTTAATACGTGTTATTTTGTATTAGCCTTACTCATTGTATGAAAGAGTGTCCTATGTTGAATGTTTCTTGATTGAAGGTAGTTGAAAGATAGTCTTAGAAAACAGACAGGTATCAAAAATCAAATTACTTGTAGAAATATTTTAGTTATGCCCTCTAATGCCATTCTCATACCACTTTAACAGAACAGCTTATTGTTTTATGATGGATCTTTTTCCATAACTAAAATGTGATGCTACCTTGATAGGACAACTTATTGTTTTTGTAATGATTCCTCTACCATAACTAAAATGTGATGCAACTTTGATAAGACAGCTTATTGTTTTGTAATGGATCCTTTACTATAACTACAACCTGATGCAACTTTGATAGGACAGCTTATTGTTTTGTAATGGATCCTTTACTATAACTACAACCTGATGCAACTTTGATAGGACAGCTTATTGTTTTGTAATAGATCCTTTACCATAACTACAACCTGATGCAACTTTGATAGGACAGCTTATTGTTCTATAATGGATCCTTTACCATAACTAGAATGTGATGCCACTTTGATAGGACAGCTTAGTGTTTTTGTAATTGTTCCTTTACCATAACTACAACCTGATGCAACTTTGATAGGACAGCTTATTGTTCTATAATGGATCCTTTACCATAACTAGAATGTGATGCCACTTTGATAGAACAGCTTATTGTTTTTGTAATAGTTCCTCCTGCCAAGACTACATAGGAGGGTACTTACTTACTGTGCTCTGCAGGAAAATGCAAAACACTTAAGATATTTATGGTCATATTATTGAATCCATTAATACTGACTTCTGATTAAAAAGAAAAAACAAACAAGCTGGTAATGAGTATAGTTAATTGAATATAATATTTGCATTTAATAAGATTAGAATGCATTGTTTCATTGGTTGTGTACCCTTGATGTTATCAGTATTTCCAACCGTAATCTCTAACATCTTATGAGGTCTGGCCAATTTAAATGATTTAGGTTAGTCCTAGATGCATATACTAAGCCAGGGGCACCCAAACTAGAGGCTATGGACATTCATTGACCATAGGAGAACATCAAGGGGCCATAGCAAATACAAAAATACATAGTACTGTTATGGTACTCGGTATCTATAGGGGGCTAAATAAGAATGTGGAATGTTCTAGAGGGCCTTGTGCTGAGAAAATTTATGAACCCATGTAGTAAGCTAACAATGTTCAACTTTATTCTTAAAGTAAGTAATAAATTAGAAATCCAATCAAAATGTTGTTTTATAAAATATTAAAGAATATAAAAAAAATTGAGAAATTAATGCTGTTTTGTCTACTTTTTGGTGATAAAAATATAGTCACTTTTAATATGTTAACTTTTGTTTGTAAATACATTAATATTTCAAAATATTTTCATAACTTTCTAATAACATGTATTATGAACTTAGAAAAAGTTAAGAAAAAAATCACTTTTAATTGGTGTCAATTTTTTAAGATGTAAAACAAATTGATTTCTCAATGATACATATCAGTTCTTTTATTTCTATAATGTCAACCAAAAAAAGTGAATATTTTTTTGGAATTGTACAGATTTGGACTTGTGGATTAAATACCTATCACCAGCTAGGAGTCTCACCCCCACCAGAACGTGTTTTGTCTCCCCGTCAGTTATCCTTAAAATTCCTTAAAGGAAAAGAGATTGTAGGAGTGTGTGCTGCCCGATTTCATTCTGTTTTGTACACTAAAGATGCAGTGTTTACTTTTGGGTTGAATGCGGGTCAGTTAGGTAAGTTAAAGATATTTTTCTCTCTACTTTAAGGATTTTTTTTTTTTTTTGTCTGTCTTGGACAAGTGCTAAGTACTCACATGTGAGTACACTAGCAAGTACTCGAATGATGTTATTAACTTATTGGGATTGTGGCCTTTTCACTAGTTTGTTTTTTGTTATTTACCCAGAGCTAAGCGATTATTATTCATACTTTCATTTCTCTCAGTTATTATATCAGTCTGGGTCTGAAGAATTACACTTTTACACAGTAAACCTTCTCTTTTTCTGAAGATCTGTTTTGGTGTTTCATATTTAGGAACTTAAAATTATGGTCACAAAGTAATTGTTTTGTTGTGATAGAATTTACCAACAGATTACATATTTATGTATTTTGAAAATAATATGGAACTCCTTGGACAACCTCTGTTATCACCATTTTTGTACTTGCTTTCAATGGTAAACTTTTTGTTCTTGCATAAGTTAGTGGAGTATGATTCTAACCATCAAGTTTGTTTTATCCCCTTGGTAGCTGCACTGTAATAAATAAAGATGAGCCCAGAATGAGGTAGAGCCAAATTAATTCCCAGTAGATAAAACAATACCTCTTTTGACTGGTAATATTTAACAACCATTTGACTTGCATACCTTGTTTGCTCAAAAGGAATACTCAGTTTATCATAAGTTTTTTACCCTCTTTAATGAGAAGTTTCAAACATATTGTTGAAGTTATATTTGAAATCTTGATTTCAGAGTGATTGCATTTCTTCTTTCTGCATTCGTTTGTTTTCATAAGGGTTAATATTAAGCAGTTATTTTGCATGTCTGTCAATGTTAACAGAGAAAGATCTTGTGAACTACAAATCATCATTTAGGAGTAAAATTATGGTGATGTTAAGTCATATAAGAGGCCTTGATTAGCAGTTGTTTAGTTTCAGCTTGCTGTCCACTGAGAAGTACCCATTTTGTGTTATACTGTAGTGTTTTTCTTTATAAAACCAATAGAAACTTGTTTTGTGCAATTTAAGTATAACAATTTTTTAAATGACTTTTTCCAACCCAATAATTTTCTTACACATTTTTCAGTACCCTATTTAAATTATTGACAAAAACTTGAGATCGTGTTTTCCTTGAGTATAAACACTCGTTTCATAATTTTGAATTTGACAGTGTTTCAACTGTCATGATCATGGCTGGTTTCAACTCTGTGAACAACACCTTTGTCTTAATAAAACAGGTTGTTTTAGCCAGTTTGGAAAAAATAAAATGCAAATAATGACTTCTTAAGATGTGAAAGTTTTTCTCTGATAAAACTAAGATTTTAATGTTAAAACACAGGAAAATAACATTGTGAAAGCACTAGAATTTAGCAGAACTTCAACCATAGAAACAACTGAATGTTAATATTCTTATAACAGGTCATGGATGTACTCATAGTCTGTGTAACTTACAACCAGAAGTATTTTAGAATAAAGAATAATTTTTATATTCAAGTGAGTAATTTTATTCAGTCACACAAGCTGTGTATATAATGTATGTAAAAGCTTTGATCTGTGATAAATTAGAAATATTTAAATACAGTGTAATGATTGAAAAAATTATGTAGATCCTTATTTCATAAGGCTAAATCTAAGACGTTATGTGATAGAACAACTAATTTTCAAGCTATTCTTACTATGATCAGTTAGAGCAAATGTATTGATTTGAGTAGTTTTCATCACTTTGGCAAAAAGTGGTTAAAGTATTTTGTTGTTGTTTTTTTCTTTTTAATGTAAAAGAAGGTTAAATGTCATTTTGCAAGTAAAACAAAATGTAGAATATATAGTATCAAAGGTATTCTTTCTTTCTGTTAGGACATCCAAAAGGTGATAGAACTCAGATTTTACCTCGACAGGTAGCTGGTCTTGACCACCAAAACGTACAAATAACGCATGTTGCAGCCAGTGATGGTGCCACAGTATGTGCTACTAGAAAGGGTGATGTTTATGTACTTCACGAATACCAGTGTCGGAAAATTGCCTCAAGGTACGTTGCCATGCATATTCGTAGTAGAAACTCATACAAACCATGCTATATTTTATTAGACTGCAATGGAAAGCTGAATCTATGAGGGAAAAAAAAGGTTCTTTCTAAGCTTATTAACATTTTATTAATAATTGTTAAATTATTTAAGATGTGAAATTAAGTGCCTTGTAATTAAACTTATCATAATCATGTGGCTGCGTAATCTTTTCCTGAAAGCTGACTTTGTTTTGAATGAGTGATATTGTTTGAGGCTCAGAATGAAAAATTTTTTTTAAAACTCACTTGTTAGTTAGGAGTTATGTTCAGTTTTCAAGTAGAGTTGTAGAGTTGAAAATGTTTGTTTCTTAAAAAAAGGGTCAAACACCTTTTCTAAGAGTTTACCCCTGACGTTGGACAGTGTCATTGGTAATGGTGACACTGTCCGATTAGATTGTATTTTTATATTTCATGCACTATAGGTCTTTTTAATTGTATATAAATCTTTTATCGACATATTTTGGTTTTAACTCACGGTATTTTTACATTTTATTCTAATTTACTTTCACTGTTTTTTACTGGTTGTTTGGCACAGATAGCCTTGTTGCCATAAAGCACCAAACAACCAACCAACTGTTTAAGGATAATAATTTTAACTTGCTCATTATTTGTAGACCTAGATAAATTTAGTGTATTTTATTAATCAGATGATTTGTTGCTGAAGTGTTGTTGCACATATTTTGTTCTAAGACTTTTTTTGTGTATAGCACTAGCTAAGAATAGTTTTTAAAGTATTACTCCTTCCTGAATAGTGTACTATCACAGTAACACAGGAATTATTTTTAGCCACAACATTTGTAAATGGCTCCTTATAAGAGGTTAGTCTGTAACATTTCAGCTATGGTCACACTGTTCTTCCTCATATGTTGCTATTGAGACATTTCAATCAGTAATGATCTAATCATTACATTTTATTATACTTCACAGTTAATACCAGATCTGTTAATCTGTTGTAATATCACATTTACTGGGATAGTTATCCACTAACATTATTGTTATTCTCTCTCTCTAAATTCCTAGATGATTAAGAAACTGAGATGTTTTAAAACAAACTGATATATAAACTGTAAATAATGAACAGGAAATAGCTTATATGTAAACGTATCACCCTTTTGGAAGATTCATAAAAGAGTTCTGTGTAAAATTTAACTTTTGAAGTTTTTGTTTTTCTCCAAACATACATTTTTTATGATACTCCTTTTATGTAGAAGTTTACTTAAGTTAAACTGTAATAATGTGTTCTATTTAACATATTGTAATTTAAGATATCCATAAGAGAGAGATTTTTGTAATATACTTCATATGTTTGAAAATATTATTAAAAACTTTAGAAGCAAATGATAAATTTTTGAAATAAAAATAATCACTTTGTTTTTAATTACTGTTTATATATTCCTGTGAAGAAAATTATTTAATGTCAAAGATAAAATGTTAATTTAAATATTTAACCAGCTACATCACCAAAAATGTAGAGCTATAAAGTTTTGTATATGTTGTTTCCTTAAATAAATATATAATTTGTAGACAGTTAGAAATTCAGAAGCTGTCCATTGTTGGAGGTCATTTGGATGCTCACTGTGATGTAGCTGGAGTGACTGCTGGTGGGGGTCTGGAACTAAGAGTTGTCCTGCTGACCAAATCTGGAAAGGTGACGAACAACCTAAACACATTATTTTCCTTTAATTGTAATATTCAAATCACTTGAATGAAAATGAATTATACTTCTGATGATTATAAAATATCTTTAATATTATTATATACCTTTTTTTAAATTTTTATAAAAAACTGGTTTATTCCCCAAAGTTAAATTTGATTTAGTTTTGCAGATAAACTTATACTGGTGAATAAAAGTCCATGCTATCTCCATCTGAGAGCTTTGTCGCCTTAAAAATCCATAGTGCTAGATTTAGCTTAGAAACCTGAAGCCTCAAACATCCCTTTTGTAATAAAAATAAAGCATGAAGGCATGTGTGTGTGTTTGTATGTACACCAACATCAAGTTTCTGAACTTTATTAGAGTAGGTATTGCTGCATCCATTAGTAAAATTTTTTTAAATAATTAAGATTTGTTGTAGCATATTTAACTTGTATCTTTTTAAAGAAAAGTTACCTGGTAACTAGTTTTGAATATTTAATTGTCTTTTTTTTTCACTTGAAACTTTAATTTTACATCTTTTTAATATTAAAATATTTTTTGTGAACTAAATAGCATTGCCTTTGACATTAATTTTTCAACTTCACATGTATGTGCACCATTTTGTTATACTAATATTAATAGGTTAATTACTGAATCTATCTCATTCATCTCTTGTTTAAATTTTTTAAGCAATATTGTCATTTTTATACATAAGCTTTTCTTCAAGTCCTCTATAAAAGAAACGTTATTGAATAATAAATTTAAACCAAAGATGAAGAAAATGGATTCAACAGTATAACAGTAGTGTGCATTTAAGTGAAGTTCAAAACATTTTATTGAAATAAAGGTGAATACAGTACTGAGAGTAAGACCACACAAATTTAAAGCAACTGAACTGTTTATTCATGTTTCAGATCTACATCTGGAAAGAATCTGCTCTGGCTCTCACTAGATGCTTATTTACCATTGGAAGACAGTTACTTATCTCTGATGTTCAGGTCAATCATTTTAATATTGCCATGGTAACTAAAGATGGAGAAGCCTTTCTAGGTAATATTATTGGTGGTCGTGAGCGTCAGCGCAAGACCTCAGAAAGTAGCACAACAAATGTTGTTGGAACTAAAGTAAACAACTCGTCAACACCACTTGTTCAATTACTGGAGAAGGAGGAGTGTGAACTGGTCCGTGTGAAAAGATTACCCCATGTCCATAGAGCAGTCTCTATCTCTTGTGATTCAAAGGGAAGGAATTTTGCTGTCTTGCAGTCCCATCCAAAAACAGGGTTTGTTTAAATTAATGCTAAACTATTAAATAATGTTTTTGTTTTATAAATCCATTCTTTCCTTGTGAAGTATTATTGATGGTAGGAACTAAAGTGATAATTTCAAACCTTAGCAAGAAGAATTACTGTGATGTATTATATACAAAGAATCACTGAAAAACTTGCCCCAAAATGGTAAGGGCAGTGATCATGAACTTGACCTTTTGACCTTCACTAGTAATGCCCAAACGTTCTTCATTGTTGCACGAGATGAAGAGGTCTGCCTACCTTAGATTCTATTTCTGTTTTTAAATAAATGCATGGTTGAGGTTCCAAGCAGCCCAATATAGTGTTTAAAATAAGTTAGAAGAAGGTTATACACCCTTTCAAGTTTTATTTTAAGGAAATATTTGGGACAATGACCATTTTCTGAAATTTCATAACTAGATCTAAGTAAAGTGAATAAAAGGGTTAAATCCTCAAATATTTAAAGAAATCACCAAGGCCGGCAAAAACTAGAAATTTGAATTAGCTTTGTTTTGGCAAGCTTTAATTCTAGAAAATTATTGCAACTTGTTTTTCATTGTAAACTCCAACGTATATATGTATGTGTAAAATAAAAAGTTTGCCTGGTTGGTGCTGTACTTATGTCAATTGTATATACATGACTTTATATTATAGCAATATAAATAATCTTGTTGTGCCAAGATATAATAATAAGTCAGCATAATAAAATTTAAATAATAAACCAATAGATATTATGATGCAAAAGATTCTTACAAGTATACATTAAACCACAAGATCCACTGATACTACCTGGATAGTGAGTATGATACCAATGACAGTGTTAAACACTCTTACGTTGTACTTATGTAGGACTTCTATGCCATAGTTAATGTATATTTCCAACTCTCAAAATGCTTAATCACTAGAGTTATTCTGAATAAAGACAACTCTAAGAATGTAGGGATTATAATAACAACCAGACCTCTGCTGATAACTTCAGATAATGTGCCATCACGTGGTAAAACTGAACTACTAAACTATGTGATATTATAACGTCTTAAGCAATGAACAGTTCAATTAAAAAGAAAAAAAGAAATACTTCCAACAATAGATTAAAAAACACACTAAAAAATGACTAAATTTCAGTACTATTAATGTTGTGATATGCAGGAAATCAGTAATAACATTCTTTAGTCAGCCACAAGTTATTTGCATTTGCTTGATTTGTGTAAAGGAAAAGTATTGTCTGAAGTTTACTGCTTTTTTCAGTCACTGTCGACAAAAGCGAGCATAGTATTATAAGTGTTTTCTAATGCTACAAATGTTATAAGATATCTCGCAGAAGGATTTATGAATGCCTAGATGTGTTGAGTAATTACATGGCTTTCAAAGATAGAAATAGCATGAACCACCTGGTGTTCTAGAAACTTATGAACACCCGTATAAAGAGTAACAATAGACTATTATACATAAATGGTTGAATGCTGATATCAAAATAGCTGTTTGAAACCTTTAAAAAAAAAGTTATTTAATTAGATTTACTAACTTAGAAAGCTTTAAAAGAACACTATAAAACCAAATATGTATGTTCTGTTTTCATTAAATGTTTGAAACTGTAATGCTTTTAACTAACTGTTGAAAGTAATGGACTTATTCATGTAATATTAGTATAAAGTTCATGGCTTACCTGATTTTCTGTTCCAGCTTGATTGAAATTCCTTCTGTGCTACCATCTCATATGTTACAAGACATGAAGAGTCTTTTAGAAGAAACAGACTCCTCAGATCTGATCCATGATGTCGTTATTAAGGTAGTTTCAGAAGTTCAGCACAATGTTATAATTATTTGTTTGAAGGCAAACTTTAACCCATTGACTGTGTCTGCTTTAAGCACCTGTGGAATTTTTGCGAGCCGTACACCGTATATGGCACGCTCGGGTTCAACTTCCAAACAAGCAGTCATTGGGTTAAACTAGATATTGTAACTTCAAAAGGACCTTATACAGTTAACACGATTGTTTTATAAAAACCTCAGATCTGTGGATAGCAACAAGTAAACATTTTTTCTGACCAAAATCACAAAACATCAAAGCATGTTGAACTGTTTTATCAAATATGTAACATACTAAAGAAAAAATTGATTTCTCAGTATTAAGGTTAAGTGGAAGTAGAGAAAAGAAGCATTAACTAATTACAGAAGATAATCTACTAGTTCTAACATTTGCTTGTTAAATAATTTATAATTATTTGTACATATTTGTAGCAGTTATTTTTTTTATTTTTTAATTCTATGCACTCCTTTCTTGTTGCTTTGAACAAATTCAAACTGCACAGTGTGAAACATTTCTTGATTGAGTATTTTATATAGAGTACAATAAGACTGGTATTTTTAATAGACAACGTAATAAGTTTCTAACATCATAGTGTAATGGTTTCTCACAGTTAACGTATCCAATGAACTTGTACTTCTATTTGTAAATGAATTTAGAACTGATATTCTTGGGTTAAGAAAGCATTATGCAGTTATTTTAATGTTTGGAGACAATATTATTAAGTTTTTTGACACAGAGCAAAATATATTGTATATACATCTCATGTATTTTAACATTGAGAAGATATACATACAAAAGTGTTTGTTTTTACAATAAGTTATTCTGAATACAGTTAAATTGCTGGAGAAGAAAAAGCTGTATTAATTTTTCATTGTTTTATACTTGTTGTTGAAACATTGTTTGAGATGCAAAGTTATGAAGTAATTTAACACTTTCTCCTCAGGTTGCAGACAGGGAATATTCTGTACACAGATACATTTTGGCTTCTCGCAGTGAGTTTTTTCGGAAGCAGTTTCAGTCTGCAGATCCATTATCGTATATTTTTTTGGACAAGATTCAGCCATGGAACTTTGAGCAAGTACTACATTTTATTTACCATAATACCTGTGATCTTCTAGTTGATGGAAAAGAGGTTTACTCAAGGAATTCGTCAAACCAGTCGGATGTAAAAATGTTCAAGAATCTTGAATATACCATTGACTCCGATTTTGACCCACACAAAGTTTCTGCTATTAAGGTTTGTACAAAAAAAAACATTCATTACAAAAAAAATGTAAATCTCAACAAGTTTTTGTAATAAATTTTGTCTTTAAATATATCAATACAAGTAACAAATATAAAAAATTTAAAACTAAAAAGATATTCTAAATTACTTGAAAAATAAGTCTAATTAGGAAATATTTCATTATTTGACATTAATGTAACCAATTTAAACTTACGTTATATGTATATAAGTATTTTAATGTAAATTGTTTTTGGGGTTGAAACTATTTTTCTAAATTATCAAAATAATGATGTGACATATTGTAATTATCCACACTTAACTATATAGTTCTTTCTCTTTTGTGTTTAATTTCCATTTTCCAAAATGAATTACAAGTTAATTTTTTAATTGAAATAGAGCTTCGTACACCCCCCCCCCAAAAAAAAGTATATAATTTTTGAGATCACTATTTTGCCATGACCTCTTTAGATAGCTAGGAATGGTTGGATAGGTCAGTGCTGAATTGCTTGTTTTAGTATAACAACAAATTTTATGTACCTTTTTCAAGATATGTACACCAAAACTAAGACTGAATGAAATTTTTCTCAAACAGCACACCATAGTTTACCATTCTTTACAAACTGATTGTTGATTTGCACTTTGTTCTATAAACAAAAATGTAATTCAATTTTTGTATACAATGACATTTTAAAGTTTTGCTTAGCAATGGACTGAACCTCTACTTCCTTATAGATATTTTTATATGTTAAGTTTCTGGTAATTCTAAACAATGTATATTTCACGTGATTTTATATATATACCATAAGACAATATTAACTGTGATACACTTTCCAGATACTCGGTTGTACCGTGTAATTGTGAAATTTCTTTGTACGACAGTTGATAGTTTCAAGTGTAGCATGAAATTATAGTATTTATTTTTAAGACATCAGGCAGTTTCAGTTGGAGCATTTTAGTCTTTGTTATTTTCCCAGATAATTATCTATAAGACAGTGGATGGTTTCAGTTGTAGCATTTTAGTCTTTGTTATTTTCCCAGATAATTATCTATAAGACAGTGGATGGTTTCAGTTGGAGCATTTTAGTCTTTGTTATTTTCCCAGATAATTGTCTATAAGACAGTGGATGGTTTCAGTTGGAGCATTTTAGTCTTTGTTATTTTCCCAGATAATTGTCTATAAGACAGTGGATGGTTTCAGTTGGAGCATTTTAGTCTTTGTTATTTTCCCAGATAATTATCTATAAGACTGTGGATGGTTTCAGTTGGAGTATGCGTGATAAGACTTTATGGGGTCATTAACATTCAGATTTTATTTTATACTAAACTGTTACAATTGTAAAGTAGGATTTGGATAAACAATAACATAAATCAAAGAAATATAACAATATAGATATTCTGAGGAACAATACCATTTGATAATACTTAAATGAAAAAAATATTACATAAAAAACATGCAGTTTAATCTTAATGTCAGTCTATAATAAAGTTTTTATTAAATTTGTTTATTTCAGCCAGTTTCGTTTTGTTTAAAATAGGTTGTTAAGCAAAAGAAGCACAGTAAGAAGTCTAGAAACAAAGTTGAAGCTGAAGATTTAAATGAAGCTTTGTCGAAAACCAGTGACCCTATCAAATGTGTTCAAGACACAAGCCTTAGACTGGGAGTTAAAACACTCTCCAAAAGGTGTGTTGGATGTGTGAATATTAAAGATTTACAAGTGTTTATAATGTGGAAAAACAAATTGGAAATTTTTAAAATTAACAGCAGCTCTATGTCTTAGCTCTGTTATTTAATTAAACTATTTCCTGTGTTTGAGCTTTAATTATTAAAGGTTACAAAATATTTTGTGGTTCTTCATTTTCCTTTTTACTAGATATTGCTAGATTACATAAGCACATGAATAAAATTAATATGTATGTGAGATAAAGTGAATTAGGCAGATTTTATTTGATACTCCTTACAAAACAGAGTATGATATCTCTCAGTTGGTCCAGTTTTCAAGAAAGGTATATATTGAAATGTTGGTATTAAAATATGGTTATGATTTATGGTGGAGTTAAAGGCTATTTCTGTTACAAAATTTGATATGTTAGGGAGTGGGTGGATTGAGGTAATGAATAAAAAATAAAGTACATTTTTTTAATATATATATATATATATATATATATATATATATATACTATT